TTTTCAGAAAAAAACACATTCGAGCATTTAAGTAGTGCAAATGACACTATAACACATATCACAAATATATATATCACAAATATTCACTGAACAGGACTGAAACTCGAATATGTATGTGTGTTTGCTATAGTTTTCTAGCTGTCATAATTCACAACTGATCAAGATGTCTTTTATGTGGCTGTATCTTTTTTGGGCACACTAACAATTTTGAGTTTAAGAAATGGAAATGATTCATTCTTGATTCCTTATGCATGTATTGGTCAAATAGAAAGCTAATATCTGCATCAGATAGAAACAAAAAGCAAACACACGCACGTGCACACACATGTACACACATACGTGTACACACACACACACACACAAAGTTTTTTTTTTTCCCTTTGGTCCTAAAGTTGATGAATGATATATTAGTCTTAGAGGTCCATGAAGTCTTCTGGGAAGAAAAGAAATATATCAAATCATGACTACAGTACTGTAAAATCTATTTATGTTAGTCTGAGAAGTTTCTTTTAAAATAAGAATTGTGTTTAAAATAAGAATTGTGTTGTTGTATTATGTATACTGCATAATAGGGGAGAGATATATGAGTATGTGTAGAGTTTTCATGTAATTGAATTGAATTAGTATTATCTTGAATAGTAACAGATAAATAATAAAATCACAAGCAGCTAGAAATGTATTGTACACGGGAACATTTAAAGAATACATTCCATTGATATAATAGAAAAGATAATATGTACAGACTGTGTTGACATTGATTATTATTGATGAAAAATCTATTAGGAAGTGATTTTTATTAGGAAGACAAAGTGACTGATGCCAATAATTTGTTAATGAATACTGTTAGACTTTAGAATAACCCATTGATTTCAACCATGGCTGTCTGCTACTGGTATAAAAAGAAAGGATTTAGATGGTCAGTAGATGAAGTTATGATCAGGTCTCTAAGAAGACAGACAGTAAAGAGATTTGAGCACTTTTATTTGTTATAAATATTATAATGTTATAGAGATATCTAGATCAATAAGAACCACACTTCAGTTCTTTGACAAGTGAATGCCATGTATTTAACTGAATCCTGAACAGAATTTTCTATTTGTTATGATTTATTATGACAGATGAGTGACACTGAGTTTTTTAAAGTTCTTTTTACTTGTTCCAAAAAAATGGATATAATTTCTTTCAAAACAAGCTAAAGATTTATATTTAGTATTCTGTCCTCTGAAGGAAAAACCATGTAAAATCATTTCTGAGGAGTCCTATTCTCAGTGGTTCTGTTTTCATTTACAGTGCTATTTACACAAATTAAATATGTGTTCTCAGTGATCTCCTGTTGGAATTCTAGATGATTTAGCTTTTGCTCATTTCATTTTTTCCTTTGTGAAACTGTATTTGTGGTAGGTAGAGGTCTTCTGACAGTAATTCTATTTACTTTATAAGGAGCTAAAAAGGGCATCGTTTTTTATATGATGTTTCATTCTGTCTGTGTGAGGAAAAAAGATAGATATTGTAGAGAATTTCAGCTTTGTAAAAAGATTTCGTCACATAAGTGTACTAATTTTCTGTATTTGGTCACTCTAATAATATTTCAGAGTGATAAATGGATATGTGATAAGATTAGTCTGACACTTTCTTGATAGAATATACCCTTGATAGGCTTTGAATTCTCTGTGAAATGTTTTTGCAGCATCAGAATTGTGTAATATGGATTTCCATTGTTGTATTGAACCAATTTCACCTCTGATGCAGTTGTTCTGACAACTGTTACTTCACAGAAACCATAGTCTTACTGATTACTTAACAGCAAAAAGTGTCTGAAATCCTGAGTCCTGTTTTTCAATATAATGGGGAAAAATCTAAATTTCCTTTTTAAAGAACAAACAAAAGAATATCATACTTCTGAGGATTGTCATAAACAAAGCTTAAGTGCAAAGTTTAGACATTTCTGTCTGTAGAATCAACATTTTTAATGTAGTATTTTCCTACCAAAGAACTCCAGCCATAAAAAGAAGATATCCATTTTACTTGGTGCATGGAATAACTGGGTGGTGTTTGGAAGGGGAATGATTATTGGCACAAACAGAGGAAGTTATAAATCTTCAGATCATACACAGGACAGATTGGAACAATACAAACTCTCCAAGTTTTCTAAGTTTATGCACCAAATAACTCTCTCTGGGCAAGTAGGAAATCTGTTTTCTGTTTCTTCTAAGCAAAAATATTACTTATGGTGAAAAGAGTTTGTTTGCTTGTTTTTCTGTGGGAATTTTCAACCAAAAATTAATGTATCTCATCAGAAAATATTGTTTGAAAACCAGGAAAGTTTTTTTTAGCAATCACTATTTAGAATGCTTTTTTGGGCTGTACAGCAAGGACGAGAGTTGATACCAAAGTAGCCCAAAATCAGAGTAGTAATTAGTGCACATGGTAAAAATACCTTCTGACACTTTCAAAAGAATTAGTACGGATGCTCATGTGCAAATGTATATAAAAAAAGTTTTATTTTTACTAGATCAGATTATGTGAAACAACAGTGAATGAGAATCATAAGAAATAATAATTGTACCCAATACATTTGCTTTTAGTAGCAGATGTTTTGAGTAAATGACTTCTGGAGGTCTTTTCCAACTCCATTTAATCTGTATTATTAGAAAACCTATGCTGTGTCAGGAATACAACTCCATATTTTCTGTCCATTATTTATCATTTTCTTGACTCTAGATAGGCTCACATTCAGAAAGAGTTCTGAATAGCACTGGAGAGCTAGTGTAATGTAGTGTACCAATCTCAGTCTGTTCAGAATTTAACTCTAGTAAGGTACTAAGATTTTGAACATCTTTTCAGAATCTGAACTTGAGAATTTCTGGTAAATTTAATCTATTGGATGGAATTTCATCCATTTGGTAAGGAGGGAATCTAATCTACCATCTTCTGGCTGAACTGTGCACTCAATGCATGCACACACAGTTCCAGCAGCTCAGGTGATCAACCCCTTAGGAAAACTGAGGAAGACTGCTCAGAATGGGAATGCAGGTAGGGTTTTATGCAGCCTAAGGGCTGCTTCAATTTTGCCAAGCTGCAAATGTCCCAGATGAAATCTCTGAGGGACCCTTTGTACTAAAAAGGGATGAACTAAAATATTTTTTTTTTCGTTTTGTTTTCTGTTATTGTACTTACTGTCTTATATTACAGAAAAGCAATTAGGGATTGTTTAGTCTGAGAACTCAGCTGCATTTTGGACACAGTAGATGAAAAGCTTAGATAAAAATTGAACAAAATTTTTGGTGAAGCTGAAGCAGACAGTCCAGGTAGCTAGTTTATCAATAAAAGATAGGTATATATAGGATAAAATAAAGGTAATAAGTCATGTTAAAATTTCGTGTCATTATGTATTCCTTGCCTATTAAAAGGAATGAAACAATTCTTTTAGTTACTGTTTCTAAAACTGCCTATGAAGTGTAGTGATGTCACTAAGAAATCTTATAAAAGGAGAGTTCAAGGTTATCATATTTCTGAACAAACTTTAAAACTACCCTACACTATTTGTAAAGGTGGTACTAATAGAACAATATCATAAAGTGTACTGGACTGGAATAATACAGTTTCATTTTCCTAGTGACCTGAACCACTGCAAAGTAACAGTACATAATGTTTCTATTGTTCACCATATGGAGCATGTTGTTGATTTATTCTTTTCTCTGTGTCATCCTTTTTCCAGTGAATTCCATGCACCTTTCACACACATCACATCAAGCACCAAATTATGAAGCAAGTGCAGGCCCATTATATTAGTAATCATTGCTGCCACCTATTATTAGTTGTTTCCAGCCAATGAGATTGCTCTATTACTCAGTTGTTCACAAAATAGTTTTTATGTAATGGTGACTGGGATAGTCTAATTTTTACTGTTAGAATACTTTGCTTCATATTTGGCAGCAAAATTTGGACAATTTTGTGAAATTTTGCATTTGAAACATTTGTTTATAGACTATATGACTATAATGAATCTGGCTTTCTTTCTCTTAGTTCAGCAATTGCAACTGGATCACCTTGTCTGTCTTCTGTAAGCAATGTGATTATTGGAAGTATTAGTATTAGGCATGTAAAAATCACAGTCTATCATAAAATAGTAAGGGTAAAGAAGGTTGGGTTAAGTTCATTCCATGAAGAAAATTGTGAGACAGCATAGGATATCTTTATCAGAAAATGTATTTTGCTTTACAGTGATAAAGGAACAATGATCCATTAAGTCAGGAATTGTGCAGTTTCCTAAGTAGCTTCTTATTTAAAATGTATAATTCAAGAAGGTGTGTGTAGGCATGTGCTTTCCTCTTACAAGTCATCTATTCAGGTAAATCTGTTTGGTACAAATGAAAAACCGTGAAACAGAAGGAACCTATGTGAAATCTTAGTGTGTGCAAGCTGGAATGATACATTTCTATAATGCATCAAATAATAAGTTCTTATTTCAAAGTACATGCCATGTAGGTGTTAATATAGGAGAAAGATTCTTCTTTTACTGACAGATTTTATTGACAAGCTTTGCACTGCCTTCTGTGATATAATTCTCTGGTTTCATGGAAAAATGTAGAATAATTTTAGGGAGATTTATTGCCTTATTACATCGTAAAACAAAAATTTAAACTGGTAATTTCAGCAGAAAAGTTTAAGATGCAGATGAAAATCTGTGAAATAAGAGAAATATGATTTTAAAAGGGACTGATCAATACGGTGTATAAACATCTGTATAAATTATGTGTCTTGTTAAATGTGCACTTAACCAAAGACTGTAGTCTTTGCAGGTGAGAATGTAAATGTATTTTGAATTGCAAAACCTCTTTTGGAATTGATGTTTTACTTTTTTAGGTTCATGGAATAGGTGTTAGAGAGACATCATGAAAACTAATTCTCTTTCTTGGGCAATAAATTACCATTTTCTTCTTTATTTGCTTGCTTGTTTTACTTTCTTTGCAAGATTAACTCTCATTTTTCTGTAACAGGCACATAGTTGTCTGTGGTCATATAACACTTGAAAGCGTATCCAACTTCCTGAAGGACTTCCTGCACAAGGATAGGGATGATGTCAACGTAGAAATCGTCTTTCTGCATAAGTGAGTAATCTTTCAAAATAAGCCATCTTGTATATTATGAAAACTTATTGAATTAATGTATGTACCTTTGGGGAAAATATAGGATTTTCCAATGTCCAAGTGATTGTTAAGTTAATGTATACAATTTCTTTTTTTCCACTGGCAGAAGTTATTTTGAGAAAAAGAGTGTTTTTTGCAGTTATTTTATAATCCATTTTTAAGAACAGTAGTATGGGTATTTCAAGAAAATAGATTTCAGAGCCAGTCATATACGTTGTGATGTAGAATATCTTAAGACATATCTAAAATGAGAAGGGAATTACAAAATTAAAAAAAAAAAAAAAGTTCTCATAAATAGACATGAGAGTTTTTTTAAGTGGCAAATATTTCTAGTGAAACAGGCACAATTGGTAAAACAAGTAAAAGTAGTGAAAACCAGTGAATGGTATGAAATTATGGCATCTGAAAACACCTGTTTTCATTTCATTAGGAAAAATGATTTTGCATTGTAAAATATTTACAGAACAAAAATGCAGATGAAAATATAGTTTTAATATGAAAATGACGCAGTACTTGATAGTGAAGGTAGAAAGTAAATTCTCATCACTATAATAGTTGGTATTGCTCTTTTACCCAAATATACCCACAGACACAGTCTCTTAAATATTTTTTTATGTGGGATTTGGAAAGGTGTCTGAAGGTGGACATTGATAGTTGCAGCCTCTGCATTGCAAGTGATGCAACATGAAGTCTTCCTATGGGAGAACCTGTTAGAAATAGCCATGTGCTCAAAACAGTGACAGTGTAAGTAGTCTTTTCTGATCTGGAATAGCACCTGTTTAGATGTGCCAAAATCTATGAATAAGTGATAATTTTGCATTTAGTTGCATTTGCAACAAGTTCTGCACTTTTCTTCTTTTCAAAGAAAGTGATTAAAAAGTTTATAATTACTAATGATTCAACAAACTAATAATCAGCTCTTGCACTTTTTTTTAAAAATATTCATTCCTTTAAAACTAGACTAGACATGTTATCCTTGAGGAACAGCATTGTTTCTTATTTCCCCTTTCTTAAGTAGTAATGGGGATTGACTTTGAGAGGAAAGTGAAGATTCAGATTTCCACAGTGAAAATGCATGGTGACATGAAATGGGAAACTGCAAATGCATGTGAAGAAAGTTCAGCACCTGGTTACTTGTTTGTGCCTGTTTTTGGTGTTTGTTTGTTTGTTTTTGTTATGTTTTTGTTTTTTCCTGTGCTGTCATGGGCAAATATTTGTGTTTACTTGTTTTATTTTCTTACTAATTTAGCATTTTGCGTCAGAAATTTCTCAGGCTGTGGTTACGTAGCTATTGAATCCACTTGTTCTATTTGGTCATGTTTATGGCAAAATGAAGTGAGATTAAGCCAGAGAAAAATTAGGTTTGTTTTAATTCCAGCTCATATAGGCATCAAGGGATCCTTTCATGATTCCTTCCCTGGCTTGTAATTATTTCCCATTGACCTCTTTTATTTGTTGCAGTCAACTGTTTAGCCAGCAGTAGGTATGTGCAGGGGATGGTTGCCTTAATAGAAAAGTTCTGTGGAAAATACTTCCTCCATAGAGAGGATGTTTTCAGATGTTTGCATCACTGTTTCTAGATTCACCTCTGCATTCAGAGCACAGTTAATCAGACCAGGTGTTCTAGGGAAGCGTAAGCAGTGTAATATTTGTTTAAGTACTGTATATTCTTTCCACAGCACAGGAAAAGCAGTGAAAATGCAAAATGTATAAATAAATAAAAATAAATAAACGAGTCAGTTTATAAATAAAAGAAGAAAATGAAACTGTTATGGAAAAAAAGTGGCTTTTCATTTGTTTTTGTATTTTCTTCCTCTTCTCAATGCAGTATCTCCCCTAACCTTGAGCTGGAAGCTCTTTTTAAACGACACTTCACTCAGGTGGAATTTTATCAGGGTTCAGTCCTCAATCCCCATGACCTGGCAAGAGTAAAGGTAATATTTCTTCTGTTCTGTTCTGTTAACTGACTTCAACTTAAGTACTCATTGCATTATTTGATTAAAACAAAAATAATTTAAGTAATGGTAGCATTCTACAGGTAAACTCAAAGCACTGTTTTTCCATTTCTATTAGCTTATGTAATAAATTACAACGTTTATCCTTCCAGATATTATTTTCCTTGTATCTTTAGATTTACAAAGCTACAGTACCACTATGACTTAAGATAGATTATTTCCTATTCTATTGAACTCTAAGAATTTTTCATTGGATTTTAGTCATGTCTATTTAATGTTTGATATAGTAGATCGTTGTCTCAATTACTTATTATTTATACTTATTATAATTACTTAAAATACTATTGTCTTCATCAATACAATTAGAAAATTATTTTTCACCTGTCAAATCCTTTTCCCATTGTCTAGAATCCTGATAAAAACGCAACTTAAGAAACTTATTAGTTAAAATGATATATATGTGTTGTCTTCGTTGTAAATTATTTTATACTCTTAAAAAAGTATGAAGTTTAAAGGAAAAAAATGGCAAGGTGTCATTTCATGTTCTTTTCTTTTTCTCTTTTTATTTTTTTTCATTTTTCTTTTCTTTTTTCTAAATAAAATGTAACTTATTTTGGCCAAATAGATTTTAATGCAATATCAGCACTTTCTAGGTTATCATCATGTTTTCTATGCATTTTGGCTTTCAAATTGCTTAACACTTTGTAGTCCATCACAATTTGTATCTCAGTTCAGCAGAACAGAATTTTTTTTATATGCATTATGTTAAATAGGGTTAAGGTTTGTGGGAATGTAGAGGTCCTCTGAACAGATTAATTCTTTACTCATGCTGTGTGAAAATTCATTCTCTGAATCATAAGTTCAAACATCTCCTCTTTTCTTTAACAAGAAAGTACTTACATTCTCAAACAAACTGCAGGACTTGTGTGTGTAGTGTACTGATATAACAAACTTTTTATGGATTTAGAGGTCTAAAATTCAATACCTCCTTACAAAAGAAACATCTGTTAAAACCTTCTTGCTTTTACAAAGTAGTAATCAGGTAATTAAACTACCAAACTGATCTGAGGAAGCTTCACAAAATTACTGTGTGTATGTGAAGCTGTTGCCCAGCAACTATAAAATCTTGAAAATTTTGTCAGTACTGTAAACTGATATTCGTGCCTATGATAGGAGTGCTGTACTTTCTAATACTTTATGATGAATGAAAAGTTGGAAAAAGGGGTTGCTATTTATGTTTGCTGTGTTTTTTGGTGTCTCAGATAGAGTCAGCAGATGCGTGCCTAATTCTTGCCAATAAATACTGCGCTGACCCAGATGCTGAGGATGCCTCCAATATTATGAGGTAAACTCATTGTTTTTTAATAGGTTTTGTATTCTTAACTCTGATTAGCCAAATTCTGGTATCCAGATAGTCCATAGCCACACACCAATTTATAGCTGATCTGTTGGACTTGAAGAGCATCGCAAGATTTTCTTTAGAAGGCAGATTATAAGATTGCCTCAGAAGCTCAGAGATGAGGATGCTCTTAAGTTCCTTTTCTAATTTAGCTGCTTTAGAATCAGCATATGAGAAGAGAAAATGTCAAGAGAACAAACTAGACCAAAAGTGAAATTTTGAATCAGAATATTTGTTTGGAACTTTGTGTATTGGCCATTTTTACTCATTTAGAGTATCTTTCCATATTCAGATATGTTGATTGCTTTTCTTCCAACACAGTTCCAGTGTAATTGTATGAACTACTAACAATTTCTGTATTCCTCTCTGTTAAGTCAATGAAGTTTGATTTTCTCTTTTTCAGAAACTGCCTTTAAATCTCTATTTTCATGGCGTAGGAGATGCTTTCTAAAAATTCATCCTTTCAAAAGGGACATGAGAGCTCTAGGTAGCACCTTTTCTGTTTCTTTGTTATAATTGCTTACAGACCACTTTACAGAGTACTTTACAGTTCTCAAAGGGCATCCAAAATAGAATCAGCTGCATTTATTTGGCTTGTGATTACTGTTGCTCCAACACAGTAATTTATTAATGTTCTCCAAGTCCACTGCTTGGCACTATCTCTTGGATCTTCACTGGTCACTGCACTAATTACTTCAGAGTGCAGTTTGTCTAGACGTTGTGGAGAGGATGACAAGGCCGTGTGATCATTTAATAGGTCTTAGCATTGAAGTATTCATAGCTGCACAAAGGACCAACAGAATTGCATGTCCTTTCCCCTCATTTAATTATGCTGTGGCAACAATATGTTACAAAAATATATGCCCTGCAAAGGCTGGTGTTGATCATGAGACAGAAGGACCTTCAATCGCCTCATACCTTATTGCTCCTCAGTAAATCTGCTACTACAAGTAATTACTTCGCTTGGTGAAAGTGATTTATACACTTCATGATGGAAACTATGCAATAGTCTCCTAGCTCCATGCTCATTTTTAACACTTAAGACGAATGATGCTTATGTTAATTGACAGAGCATTTACAACATTAGGAACCACCAAAGCTTTGTCCTGTTTTCCTCCTCCTATTCTGTGAAGGAAGGTCAAAGGCTCAGTTAGCGGATGGGCATCTAGAGTTACAGTAAAAATAAATGAGACCAGTCTTCTTGTTTTTTAAAATCAAATGTCAAGGATTTGTCAAAAATTCTCTAACATGGAACTGATCATTGCAATTAAACAATTTTATTGGTCTGTCAGATATTTGCATTCCATGAGTTAAAGAAAAAGGAGGAAAAAAATTAAATGATAATGCTACTCCACCTTTGGCAAAGTTCACTGTGAACAAGAGATTTGGGTGTATATGGAAGGAGCAGGTCTTACAGAATTGTTAAGGTTAGAAAAGAACTCTAATATCATCTAGTCCAACAATCAATCTGTCATCACATGCTGTTAAACCATGTCCCTGTGTGCTACATCTACATGTTTTTTCAACACCTCCAGGGATGGTGACTCCATCACTTCTCTGTTACATGCATAGCCTGTTCCAATGCCTAATTTCATTTTTCTGTTTCAATGCAAAAATCATTTTTAGTTTTCATTGCATAAATGTATTAAAAGACTTTCAATTGCAGATTAGTGCATTCTTAAAACATTTACTACTTTTAATCTAATAAAATGCAGAGCTTTTATTTCAGAATTAAAATTCTCATGCATTTTCTTGTATTTAAATGAATTTAATTCAATAAGATTGAATGTTTAGTTAAATTTAGTAAGAATTCAATTCAGTAAGAATTGAAAAAATACTAGGAAGAGTTGGTTTTCTCTCTGAAAATAAAGTATAAATTGAAATTGTCCATATATCTTTTTAAATCCATATCATGACCTAGTTTTTGTATACTTGAAGCTCAAGCAAAACCAGAATTTTGCAAGATGTTTCCTACAGAACACTGCTGTAAACAGTTGTGGCATTGAGAATCTTGTGAGTCTGATGACTCTAAAGTAATTGACATTATTTTCCCTTTTGATTGTTTTCTTTTTTTACTTCAATTTGTTCTTACAGAACTGACTTTTTTTTTGTTTGCTTCTGTCTTTGATTTTGCTGAACAGGTTTTTTTTTTCATTTTTAATTGTATATTCCTCATTTCATATCACACTATCTGTTACTCAGTTCTAAATAATTATTCTTTGAATTCATTTTTGATGGACAAACAACGGGATATATGTTAACCTATTTTAATAATGAAGAATAGAGTCAAGTTGCAAATTATGGGAGTAGCCATATGTTTTTTAAATTTTGAGTTCAGATATCAGTTTCAGTATTGAGCTTTGACAAAATCCAGAAAAAATGAAGATGAATTTGCACTTGAATTGATATAAAATAGAATTATTACTCAAGCTGTTTAAATACGGTAAATGTCTAGCAACAGTAAAAAAGATAATAAGGGAGAAAGGAGATAAAAGAAAATTGTTTTAGACATATGTCATTGGAAAACTCAAGCAATTATATTGATTCAAAGAAACAATTACTAAAGATGACAATAATTAGAAGTATATTATTTGTTTAATGTAATGAGTAGGGTATCTTGAACAGAGCTGCTAAAACAAAAGTATTTTTTTTCCTTCAAATTCCATAAGGATACCATTCAACAAAGTAATTCCTGAAATTCAGTGTTCTCTAGTATTACCTGCTGATTATTAACTGAATTTGAATATATGTAGAGACTACATAGGTTTGACTTCAATCACCATGCTTTACAGACAAATAAATAAAAGAATACAGTTTTATCTGTGGGACGTGACAACACAGTGAAGTAGAGGTACTGGGATACGTGATCCAAATATCCTACTAGCTAAAATGCTATTTTAATTGTTTTCTTTTTCTTTTACTTTTAGAGTTATTTCAATAAAGAATTATCATCCGAAGATAAGAATTATCACTCAGATGTTGCAGTATCACAATAAGGTGATGTGATAACTATTAGTGTCTCTTTCTGCAATTTGTTTTGCTACATTGCACTCATGAACAATTTCTTTCTAGCGTCACTAATAATAAGCATTTTTATTTCCTTACATGAGCACCCTAACAAACCTTGTCACGTAGTCCTGTAACTAGTTAATTCAGTGTTATTTATATATGCAAGGGACCTTATCAAAATCTCTGACATTTATCAACCATCTTGGATATAATTCTCAAAGCTACAGTGTTTGTTGTTGCTACTGATTCCAGATGAGCTTTTAACCAGTCAGCATCCATAAATTTTGCCAAGCTTACTGCACTACAGCATGAGTGTCCAAATTTTTGGCTTGCCTGAGCTGCAAGAGGAATTGTCTAGGGCCACATCTATGGAGGCTGCTATGAAAGAAATGCCTTCTATTTATTTCCATGGGAAAAACGATGCAAAGAGCACAATAACAATATTTAGTAGAGCAAATTGTCAGCTACAAACCACTCTTCAATATGGCTACCATCATTAGCTATGCATTTTCACCAGCAAGGAACAAGAGTCTCCATGCTGCACTCAAAAATCTTCACTAGTGTAGGTGACACACAGTTGCTGCCCTGCAGTGCACAACCCACAGCTTCACTGTGCTCACATCCACTAATCTCCAGAGATGTTAAGTAACCATTGATGAATGTCAGTGAATGCCATTATTTCCACGTGCAGGAATTGAGTGACACACTTTTGCTTCATATGTACTCCCATGCCAGATACCGTTTAGTTAGACTGCCCCTGTGCTGCCACCTCTCTCATGGTAAGAAAATGTAATGGAATATTGTCTGGGAGGTTCAACCTCTACTGCTGTGCCTCTGCCTTTAATATCATGAACCAACATCATAAAATAGTAAGCATTACTTTCAGAGGAGCCCTCATAAGCTATATAGTACAGTTAATGTATATAAGTAACAAAATTTTATTTAATTTTTAATGTTTTTTTTTTTTTTTTTTAATTAAAGCATATAGAAAAAGAGCAACAAACATGTAAAACTTGTAGGATAAATGACCTTGCTTTTGTAAAACTAATACATCAGTCTGGTTTGATGGGAGTGGTTGCAATTCTTAGAGAGATCTCAAGGTGTGCATCAGAGATTTTTGATGAAATTTTCTGTACTTTGCCCTTCACAACAATTGGTCACATATGTACATTCTGCCAAAAAGCGATGATGTGAATACTGTGTTATTATGAAGGGAGGGATGTTTCTCTCTTGTACAAGGGGGCTTATAAAGCTCTGAGATGTAATCATGTTTTTGACTGCAAATCTGTAGATTCCATTTGAAAATTTGCTAGTTATATATTTATGTTGACAGAAAATTGAGTGAGAAATAAGCCAAAAAATTGTTGTTGTTGTTGTTGTTTTTTTTTTGCAATCTTGAAACCTATTCTCAAATTCCTGTATCACAATGGCAACAAATGCACATTTCTCTGGTCACAGGACTGTGTTTAGCCATTATATAAAAATCCTTAAATATAGTTGCCATAATTTAACACTGCACTGCACCCCATGGCCTGGTTTGAGCCTAGATGGGGTTAATAGCAGACTGATATTTGGTTGATGCTGAGTAGCAGTTGCAGGCCTTGGGCAGAGCCACAGCCATGATGGCATAGAGCAGGAGACAGGCCACAGTGCAAGCTATGCCAGGCTACTTTTGGCCTGTGGGCTGCAGATTGTGCATGCCTGCACTAAAGCTACCCAAGATAAATTGGTGGCTTCTAGGCAACTCAAGTGAAGTCATTTCTTTGTGGATAGCTACAAAAACACGTATTCTCTTATTGGCTGTTTATTGTGATTTTGAATTAAATGACAATGTAGACCAGTAATTGCCAAATGGGAAGGAGAAAATCAACAACACTAAGGTGAAAATTAAGGCTCACTCAGATGTAAGTATGGATATACTAATATATGTAGTATATCCTACATATATTCACAGGCATATATGTAGGATATGACTTGAGAAATGTGTAAGTTGACTATAATAAAAATATGCATTAAAGGTTGTTACACTTCCTAGCATAAAGTTAAATTTTAAGATTTTTGAAATAAATTTTCCTATTCAGAAAATGTCTAGCCAATAACAAAAGCATTTACTGCTATCTCCTCCAATACTGTATTCTATTTGCAGAAATATTTCTGCTTCTTCACTTTCTGGGTTTTTATGTATTTATTTATTTGTTTGTTTTATAGGCTCATCTGTTAAATATTCCAAGTTGGAACTGGAAAGAAGGGGATGATGCAATCTGTCTCGCTGAGCTCAAGCTGGGTTTCATAGCTCAGAGTTGCCTGGCACCAGGCCTTTCAACAATGTTAGCCAACCTCTTTTCCATGAGATCATTCATAAAGGTAATGTCTTGTCATATTAGAGTATGTTAAGTCTGCAATTCAGTTTGTCAGAGAGCTGAGTAGAGAATATGGCTCAAATGTAAAACAGATAGGAACACATTAATAGCTTTTGCAACACAAACAAACAAATAGAAATAAACAGCTTACCTACAGAAGATTTATTCAGCAAATGGGGAAATCAGCCAGGTTCTGCCAAACTTATATTCTTATTTGACAAGTGTTTGGCCATTAAGAGTGTCATTCATTTCTTGGAGGATATTTCTGGTCTTTTGTGTTGTTTTAAAGAAACTATGTGTTTATTTAAAAGGAAATCCCCTGCTGCTAAAACAAATATACGATTTATATATGTCCCATACAGTAAAAAAGTGTCCAGAAGAAAGGACTGATCATCTTGGTCTTTTACATTAAGTTGTTACTAGACCTCTGACTGTGACAATAAATAAAGAACATATGTTAGAGCTGAAGCCTAAACTTCCTTCAACATCATTTGTGTATTTGTTTCTCCTCATCCAAATAACTTTTCAGACTCAAATGGCAAAATTTTAACCCTGTTATTCCTACACTTCTGAGGCAGTCATACTAGTTCTCTGGACAAAGGCTCTGACTGTAGCAGTCAGTGCTCCTTTTCATGTGCTTCCTTCCTCATTCTTGGGCACTGATTCCAAACATCAAAGATGCATGATTTCCAATCTCTTGAGTGTTCATAACAGGACAGGCAGCACTGGAGTCACAAGGTAGGACATAGTTCACTTCAAGTTCATTGTGTAAGTTAGCAAAAAAGATCCCCACAAGAAACCGTGCCTTAAAAACCACACAAGAAAGCAACCAAAAAACCCACAAGGCCCAATATTATCATGTGAGAAGCCAGGAATATTCCTATAGGGATGCACGGACATACAGCAGAGAGTCTTCTGAGAAAATTATGAAATTTTTATTAAGATATCCTTTAAAATCCTTTCCAAAAACTGAGACCACAGATTCTTATGTGTCATAAATATTCCAGATTATTATATTCAGTTGAAAAAATTGCCTGTTTTCTGGACAAAAATAAATCCTGTCTCTTCACTTTTATGTCTGTAGTTAAACTTCTTGTATATCTACTCATGTTCAGGTAACAAAAGCTGTTTTATTTCAGTAAAGCCAAATTTGGGAACTACCTAAGATTCACATATAAGATAATCTTGTAATAATTTCAGTACATTGACAAATCAGACTATCTCAGTGAAAACAGTTCTGAGCTGAAAACTGAGCTTTTCAAGGCACTTTACCCCTTCACTAACGTAGAAACCATCATATTGATTATGAATATTCCTATATTTGTAGAACAAATAGAAAAATAGCAAAAAGTTTGTTTTAGAAGAAGAAATTAATGCCAGTTTTGCTGACATGCTCATTTACATCAATATACAGAGTTAGAGTAGGGTACAGATAATTAAATTAGGTTACTTTACATGGCACAGAAGAAATACTGTAAAATGCTGGGTAGACTGTGCTATTATTGGTTATGTCTACTACTTAACTAAGAATGAATTGTCCGGGAAACTAAAATGGATATCATCATTTTTGAGAAGGTTTGAGTGTTAAAATCTGAAACAGAATGAACGTCCAACAACAGAGTACATACATTTTTCCATGAGAATCCAAATCAACTAGTGATAGTAGAAGGTTTATTACTTCACTTAACTGAAAGGATACTCTTTGTGCAAGCTATCTCACTCTAAAAACTATTTGAAAGAGATAGCTATTACTGAGTGGTGTTTGTGAATCAAGAGTGTATTGTAGAAGAGCAGCTACGCTGATCGGAATTGTTAAGTACGACTCCTTTGAAAAGAAAGATGTGCACTTCCTAAGAGGACTTCTGCTCCTTTGCGTTTGGAGCTCTGAATTTAAGTATGTCAGAGCCTCCTAAATTTCTTGGGCAAATGTTAGTTGAGTCTAACACAAGTTAGGAGATTGCCAGGAAAATTTACTGAAACCTCTCTATTAAAAAATATATATAAAAAGAAAAAAACTCTGAAATGTGTGTTGTTTCCTCCTTCATCATAATGTGTTTAGAAAGCCATTTAATAGCCATAAATGTTTGAGCAGTCAAACACAAATGAACATGATTGATGGTGACATTGTACATGTTTAACTCATTATGTGTTACTTTACAGCAAAATGGTTTGTGTAAACAGTCTGCCCAGTATTAAAGCTAAAGTAAACTAAGAAACCTCAAAATATTATTTTTGTGTCTTATATTTTCCTTTTGGTTTTAGAGATGTAATCTCACATGGAATCTCCTATGTTCGTTTTTGGCATGGACCTGAATAAAAAGAAAATTAGCTCAAAAAGAATGTGTGATACAGTTTTAACAGAAAGGTTCTGTAAACATTTAAAGGAAAGAAGATTGTCCAGCAAATCTTGAGGGAAAAAATGTAGATGATGTTTACAACTGTAAACTGTATTTCAATAATCTATTCATAGCAGAAAGTGCTATTGTTGTATGAATAAAGAAGTTGTGACTCTTTAAAATTTGAAATGTGGTGCTTGAGTGTAACACAGGTTCATAAAATGAATAAGTTTTTGTGTAAGCATCATTCGAGGTCTGAAAAATGATCTAGAGCAGTTTCAGTTCTTTCAGCTATTTTGAGAGCAGGAATGTGGGCTCTTTTATCAACTGTGCTCACGCTCACATATATGTAATTCTCCCACTACATTTCTTTCTAATCTAGCCTGAGAGATGGACATATTGAAACTGCACAGATTTATGGCAGCCAGGTGCTTACATGCACTGATGGAATATGTTAACTGACTTTGTATTTATTTTTGGCCACCTAGGCAGCAATAGGTTGTTCTGAAGTGTGAGTCTGGGGTTTACTTGGTGAATTTCTTCTATGGAAAGAGAGCTTGAAGATGGGGGGGGGGGGGGAAGAGCAAACTTGTCTGTATATTGTGAAGCTCCTCAGGGGGCTGCATAATCAACAGAGTACTTGGTAATTAACATTTTTCTTCCTTTGCCAACTACTTCTTCCAGGCTTTAGGCCAAATACTAATGTAGCCTGTTTTCAAAAACATTTATTCTTTAAAAGGCCTGCCTGAATAGAATCTTTTTAATCATTTAATATAGCAACTAAAAACTGCTGTGGTTGAGAACTGTGTGCTGATTAGAAATAATGTCAATCCTTGGGGAAAAAGTAATATATTTGTCCTGGACTGAAGTCTACCACAGAGTGTGTTTTTCAGTCAGCTGTTTAAAGAGATCAAAACCAATCTGCCTTTTACATTGTGATTGGATAGAAATACTATTCTGTTTTTTAAATTTCAGCGTTATTTTTTAACAGTATGATTTCTATAGTTTTGAATCTAAACCCATTGAAGCCAGGCATCCAAGGAGATTCCCAAGATATCTGAAGTATTGCATCTCATAGTATTCAAGAATACTGTCTTTTTTTTTTTTAACTACTACAATATTCTACATTATCATGAGCAATGAAAAAGCACATAGATCTCTCATTTGAAACTAAAGCCAATCTGAATTAGTTATATGGTATTCTATAAAACAACAATTTTGGAAAATGTTCTTGCACACAGGAAGAACTGTGAGAATAGTTGGCTGAGGTTGAAGAATTTTTATTACACTTACAAGTGCTGAAGAGCACTTGTTACTTTTGAGTTAGGGAATCAATGGAATTGAATAAAGGGATAGTTGATAATTTATAATATTTAAGAAAATCAGATTATAAGACTGTAAACCTCAGAAGCTTGCAAAGAAAGTAGGAACTGGTTTTAGCCTTCTACGTATGTGTCAGATTTCAATACCAATGTCTAAATGTACAGTAAAACCAAACACTTGCACAAGCAATTTCCATGGACTGAAAGGCATTATGGGTGAAGATGGGGAAAGGTTTAATTTCACAAGTTCATTTCAGCTACCATTCAAGAATAATCCATTCTTATTTGCCCTTTCCTCTCATGTATGTAGTTGGGAAAACAAACAAACAGAGAAGTCCACCAGAAACAATGCTGTGGAGAACAGAATTGTAAAAGTAAACTTCAGTAGATCCTTAAGTCTGAGTTTAATGGGTGGCAGGATTCTTGTGTTATATGGACATAGAAGAAAGCATATCATAGAAGAATGCATATCATTTTTTAAACTTCAGTTTTAAAATCTTAACTTTAATTTAAAAATCCTACCAAAATATTTTTTTCTGTTTTTTTGATAAACAGAGTAGGCTGAAGAAAATTACATTAGATTTGCTGAACTCTGCAGGTTTGAATTATAAGCACACAAGGTATATAAGCATAACATGCCAAAACCAAAGCAGATACATTGAATAACTGAATCAACAAGAAACAGTAGGGATCTGTACCTGATTAAATTAAAAAGAATATATTTTTTCTCCTTACTGATCTGAAAGGATAAGTGAAATTAATTGTTAATAGAAGATATTTTCTTCATTAGTAATGTTCTATAGCATCTCATATATCAATGATTCTTAAAATTCATTTATTAGTATTTCACAGTAACATAAAAGAAAGTATCTTCAACATTGTAATGAATTTATGAAGGTAAATGTAATGCTAACCAGTATCTATGAATCTTGATCACTGCTTTGTAAATGAATTTTGTTATTTTCCAGTCCTTTTGTTGATTCTTGGCTAAGAATGTGCTTGTTACTTTATTTAAATTCTTCCTCCAAATTGAAACAGGTTGCTTAAAGAAAAGAAAGCCAGGGAAGAAATTAGAAATGAGAAATTGAGTGGAAAACAGCCTTACTCTTATTTTCTTTATGCCATCTTTATGCTTTTTTTCTCCTTGCACTTTTTTTTCCAACCCCAGGTGGTGTCAAAGAAAAAGCCATGAAATAGAGCATAAGTAACAAACATATTGCTATCATTACTGTTTTTTACCCAGTCTGCACTTTATCTGTTTTCTGTATATAAAGAGCTGCTGATCAGCAACATTTGCAAGTTTCACATAAATAAACGAGTTATAAAAAATGTGATATGACTTCTCTGTGTGTGGTGGAGAATAACACAATGCAAATCTTTTCTAGCATCCCACATGGTCTCCGAATGGTGAAACAATGTATATGGAAAAAATTTCTCTTGATTGTTTGCAGCCCACATGTCAGGGAGGAAATGATTTGAATCCTCTCCATATTGCAATTTGTTCTTGCAGGTTTTTTTTTTTTTACTTCTTCAGAACTGAAGTAACTTCTTACCTGGCAGCCTATTATCAGAAAAAAATAAAATAAAGTAAAATAAAATAAATAAAGTAAAATAAAATAAAATATAAAGTATAAAGTAAAGAATTGTATTTAATATTTCACTGACTTCTTTAGAAGTTTGCTATCCTTTTTCTTTTAAATATTCCTTTGAAAGAGTGATTTTTTAATTTTTTATTTTATTTTTTAATGACATAGCAGGAGGAAAAGACTGGTGAATCCAAAATTTAAACTAAGTATGTAGAACAAAACATATATAAAATACTACACAAATCATGTTTAAAATGGCTGTTGCAGTATATTTTTAATACTGAAAAAAAAAAACAAAAACCCACAATTATTATGTCACACCAAATTCACCAAAATCTGACTCGTTTTCTTTCAACAATAAAATGTCTGAATTTGGCAGTAAAGCTTTTCTTCAGTTTCTGTTCTGAAACACTTATGACTGTTGAAACCATTTCAGTATGTCTACTTCTCATTGTTTCCTGCTAGCTAGAGATGCAGAAAATGAATTTTCAGAATTTTTAATGATGTTTTTTTGTGTGTTTGTGTGTGCTAGCCAAGTTCTGAACAAGGTGAAAGCAATTGAAAAGTAGCAATATAATGCAACCATTTCACTAGAGAATTTTCAGAAAAAGAAAATAGATGTTTTTCCTCAAGCTCTCCATTTCCTTATTTCATGTCATGCTAAATGTTCCTGCCAATAATCAAGTGATTCATTTTTACATAGTATGTTTGATTGACTGTCCTTTTTCTTGGCAATATTGTCAAAATACTTGAGTGACATACCAAGATATTTACTTAAAAATGTATGCATGTTTAAAAAGTTGTTCATAATTTTAAATGAAGTTTTTCATTTTATTTAGATCTCTGTATCTATTTTTTTGTTTGTTTGTTTCATTTTTTAGATTGAGGAGGATACATGGCAGAAATACTATCTGGAAGGAGTTGCAAATGAAATGTATACAGAATATCTGTCTAGTGCCTTTGTGGGTTTGTCCTTCCCTGCAGTTTGTGAGTAAGTAGAAATACATACTATTAAGCATAATTATTTACATGCTTTCAAGTGAAATCAGAGATTTCTACAGGAGACGTCACTTTGCTACAGTCCTAATGTTGCTACATCAGATGAAATCAAATAAAGTAAACATTAAAATAATCACAGCATGGAAGTATTCCAAACATTATAATGCTGCTTTCTTATGAGATTTGGAATTAAGTGATTGTAAATGAAACCATAAATGTTTTCAGTGTTGGACAAATTAATCAGCAATCCATTTAAATTATTTACTTGAAAGAGCTGTCCTATTGTTTCTTTTAATGAATCCCATTCTTTGAGTAGTGTTTGTCAGCATCACTGTCTTGGCTTATGTCCCATTCCAAGAAAACCATTCATTAATTGAGACAGATTTAGTGCAGTCATATAAGTAGTGTGGTGTCCAGAGCTTTGTAGCACTGGTTGCAATCAAACATGTAGTATATAACCATGGTCTAAGCCATACTACTGTTTTAATTTTTGAGACTGAAAATACTTACATTTGTCTTACATTTTTTCTGTGAAAGACACAATTGTATGCTTAAGGTTGTTCCAGTACATACCATAGCCACAAGTATAGGACAGTTTAGCACAGTCATATTTTCACATCTATTTAATTAAAAGGTAAAATATTAGAGATATTAACTCTGCATTTGTCCAACATATTGTTGCATATTGTTGCAATTTTGGTACATGATCTATATTTCGATGTGGTATATTTTTATAACAGTGCTTGTCACAGAAATAGATTTCACTTTTGTGTCAAGCTACTAAAACATAGGCAAGGCTCAACATTTGTCTGCATTCTCTCTCAGCTCCAAAACAGATTATTTCTTTTGTGAGAGTATTCGAAGAAGTAGCACTTTCTAGTCTGATGCCAGATTAAGCCCCTGTCTATTGCAGAGTAAGACATCATGAATTCTCTGTCAGTGTTAAGTTCTTGCTTCTATATATGAATTGTTTTATTCAACTCATCTGAGAGGCACTTTTAGACTGTTAGGACCTAATCAACACATCATATGCTCACTACAGTTTTTTGCCTCTCTGAAGCAGTGATATTGGATCAGTCTATAGCAGTTTTTTGTTTTTTTTTTTCCTGAACTCTGAATTTTATTCAGTGTTGCAGACATGTCGGATTCTAGACCCCACAAACTTGAGCTCAGCTCAGCTAACAGCTAAGTCAGACTCTGTCCTGACATTCCTCTAAATAAAGTTTTCTCATCTTCTGTCTGTGAGTAAAATCAGATTTCATCTGAATCTGCCAGAGAAATCTCCTTATATTTTACATTTTCCTTCGAGCTCTCGCAGAAACTTTCCTTTGTCCCATCCCTGCAAGAGGCCAGCCATCCCCTCTGTCCCTCATTCAGCCAACATGTACATGCTAAATAGTCTCCTTAGACACACTTGTGAGACAGCAAGAGCCAGCATGTGAAAACAGAGGTTGTAAGTCTTATTGTGCTCCCTAATGCCATGTCAGCTGTCCAGTCACAAATATGAAAAGGCTGCTTCAGTAAAGGTCAGCACACAGTAAACTTCAGTAAACTCCGCACAGTTCTTTATTTCGTGTGTTTAAGTTACAGAGGTTTATGTTTCCATTATAATTATACTATAATTGAACGGTGCGTGGAAGAATGCATGACCAATTTCATAGAATAGGAAGCAAGTAGCATGAAATTTGCATATATTTCAATGATAACATTGTAAAATCACTGGTTTCTGGTTATTAAAAAAACATTGAGGGTTTCTTTGATTGCTCTCACAGTAGTTGTCAGCTTCAAACAAGTGTTGCTGTACTAACTCCACTCTCCAAGTTTATAAAGAATATTATACTTGTTTTAGTAAATTGCTACTAACAACTAAAAAAAAAAGAAAAGTGTATTAATGTATCAGCATGCATTTTCCCATGTGCTGGTCAGAAATAGCTTCCAGTTATGCTGTTTCTCTGTCATAGAAATTGATAAATGCTGACATACTATTAGTGTACTCCTGCTTTTGGCCAGTATATATACACGTTTTGTGCACTGCAATCAAAATATGACTAAATTTTAGCAAAGATTTGAAAAATTTCCTCAAGACATCCACTGCTATAGTCAAATGCAATTTTATGTTTTGAATTATGACAGTTGTTATTATATCTTAAGTAGATCTAGTAATGTAGTAGTGCTGCTTAGGATGTGTTCTCAAGTTGTCAGTTTATAGTACTTATGAAGAAGCATTTATTATCTTCAAAACAAAGACTTTAATATATGAGCTATATATGTTACTGAAGACTGGGTAAACATCTGAATGAGTGCAAATTCTCAGCCATGTCTATTTATACAATGTCAGTTGTGAAAAAGGTCTGACTCTTGACCTCTTGTCTTCCTGCAGACTGGTGTTTGCGAAACTAAAGCTCTTAATGATAGCCATAGAATACAAGTCGGAAAAAAGAGAAAGCAGGTACGTCCAAGACTACAAATTCTGAAGTAGGAATGCACTGTCAAGAATTTTGCCTGCTTATTTGAGAATAAACATAGATGTCCTTATACGTTTGATAATGTTTCAGAGTATAATTGTCATGCCATCGCATTACACCATTTTATGTAGCGCTAAAAGGCTTTTATTTCTGCTCTGTTTTTTCCTCACCCAAATCAATTTAAGTTATAATACTTAGTGTAAGGTAGGGGTACAGTGTTATGTGTCCACTTCCAGAAGTGCAATTCATTTTTATTTAAACAAAAACATACCTTGCTCAGTGTTTTTTGTTTATACTCTGTCAGCTTTAAGTGACAGTCCAACAGTCCAACAATTTACTGTAAATAGAAAAGTGGAAAGCAGGTGTGGTATCACTAGTAATTATGGTAATGTTTATTTCTCAAAATAAACATTTATAAAATAATTTAATATAAATCAGTTTGGAAGAGCCAGTCTTCATAGGATACAGGATATATGGAAATATAGAATAAACATTTATATGGTATCAGTTACGACAAAGGATTTATATATGAACACCATCAGGTAACTCAAAGTTACACGTAGTTTTGAAATTGCCAACTGATTGACACCTTTTTTATCTGAAAATAAATTTCCTGATCATAAATCACTATAAATTCATGGACAGAAAGTGTTTCTTCTTTTTGTACAAAAATTCTTCTACATGTGCTCTGTGACATGCGGAGGGGCGTATAACAAAAATCTGGTAATTCTGACTTTGATCTGAATTTTGTTTTCTCTGTCAAAAGTGACATTTGTAAGTGTTACAGTAAATCTGGAGTTACATATACGACAAAATAATATTTTTATTGCCACCAATTACCTAAACCTTTGAGGGCAATTGTTTCTCCTCCAAGGAGAATCAATTCTATTATTTGAGCTCATGCCATGATTCCTGAGGTTTTGAAAGTATATTCCTTTATAAATGCCTATATAAAACCTATGTGGGACACTTGACACAGAAATCAATTATTGCAACTACTAATGACAGTATTTCCATGGCCTATACTTGATTTTGCTTGATTCCTTCCTGTGGGGTAAGTGATATATGAGGTGGTGTGTGTGATACTGGATTTTACTTTTGTCCACGTTATGTTAATTAAGAAATTGATTATTTTTTTTTCACAACAGATTTTTTTAATGTTTCCAGCTCATCTGGGCTTATCTTAAAATAAATACTTTTCCATTAGATTACTAAATTCTGCATTTGCTAATATAAAGTAAATGTAACGTAAAAATATTTTTCCTAAAAGTTTAATCTAAATTTTGTAGGGGAAAAAAAAAAAAAAAAAGAAGAATGCATTAGTAACAGCAGTAGTACGTTAATATATTTTGTGATTACAATATTTGGAAAATACTTGGTTTCCTTTGGCTCTCTCTGACAACTATTGCCCAACTTTAGGTTGTCATTACTTTGCATGTCATTTAGTTACATAAGTGCTAATATTGCAGTCTTTTTCAATAATAACAGATAACTCATGGCTTTCATATCATTATTTGAACTAACTTCAATGGAAGTTGGTTTGAGTTCTTAATCACAAAGTGATGCAGAAGGTCCCACAAAAAGTAAAACAGTGTGATCCAATCATATATTTCCTGTTACTCAAGTCCACAGAGGTAAAAGTTCACAGTGAATTAGTTTGGTAGAAAAGAAATTGCATTAAGCTATACTAATGAAGGGATGTTAACAGTTGGATTTTACAAACATATATAACGGAAAGAAAGCAGGTAAACTAAGTAGTCATATCATTTTATTGACCATGATCCACAGTAGTAACTTCTGACTTTAGTAAGCAGTGATAATTTTATACTCACTCTTTGGAGAATCGAACTGCTACCTGCAGGATAATTTTACTGTTCTACTTGTCCCTGTGTTCTTCAACACGTGTTGAGTACATATTTCTGGCTTTTATGCACTGGAGCCTCTTAATCTAATCAGAAATGTAATATAACAAACCTTTTTCTCACTTACGTTTATTTATATTTCCTTGCATTCTTAAATGATGAAGAATTAAGATAAAAAGTAGGATAACATGGTTTACAAGTGAAAATGGTCTTTGAACGTGATAAATTTATCATTTACCAATTATTTTTGTTGATTGTCTTTGGACATACTTTACCCTACTTCACATCTTCATTTCTTCATTGATAATCCATAAATGTGAAGAGAAAATTAATTATGATAACATTCATTCTATCAGGAGGGTGATCAACAGGAGATATGTACTCGTATATTTTATGATTACAGTTTGGATTCATATTTTTAAAAAATACTGAGAAATTTACATAGTTCACAACAATAATTATTATAAATAAAAGACTGCAATAGTATCAAGGTGGTACCTTTGTAGAAAAAGCTATTTTCTGCTACAGCTGAAGTAGGTATAGGATGAGAGAAGTTTCAAATCATTCCTTCTGCCAACTCAATGAGAAGATCTTACACCACTTTGATTTTTGTGACTAGTTTTAAGGCATAATATTAATATAATATTATACATATATAATACGTATAGTATATTGAGGTAAACTATATATCTGATTAGTCTCATCTGCTTTCATCACTTTGCAATGACTGCTAAAGCAACCACAAAGTGAATTGTGAAATGTGTGCAGCTCTCACAAGTGGTAATTTTAAGGTCATTATATACTTTCTAATTCCCTGTTAAAATATTCACCTCAGTGTTAAGAAAAACATCGCACTATCATTTTGAGCGGGTGACAGAATTTTCACTATTTTAGTATCTTCTTTAAGTTCTTTAAAAGTTTTTTCACTTTTGAAGTTATGACGTTTTTGTTTTATTTTTTTTCAGCCAGTCTCCTTGATTCTGGCTTTCTAAAAATTTATGCTAATTCTACCATAGGGAATTTGAGATCAGTAGTCATTTCAAATCATCAGAAATCTATCCAAGTCAATATTAGTATGCCAGCTAGCACTAGCTGAGCTTCCTGCTCAATTTTTTTTCATTTTTTCCTACAATTCCTATTAAAGCTACAGAAAGATGTATTAGATTGTTCATTGTAAACAAGTTATGATTTTAAAAGATTGCTTAAAATCAGAATGTGAAAGTGCTCTGAAGTAAAATGAGCTTTGCAAGCCCTGATACAAGGAATGTATTCTTAGATACGATAAATATGGAGTCAAATAATAGCCAAAATATGGCCTAATTTTTATTTATACAATTGTTTCTCATCAGGGTACTTAAAAGATTAATTATAGCTATACTTAAATTTATTTAGATCTACATTTATATCATTAATAATATTTGAATTACTGCTCAGTTATCACAGAAACCTTTCAATGTACAAAATGTGACTGACTTTAGAGGGTTTCTGACCAGCTACTGAGGTCTGCACTTTAGTTGTTCCATATCACAGTATGAGACATTCCTCCATCATTAATATTATAACTTCCTTCATCTCTGCAAGTATTATAGTCATTGTTATTAAGAAAAAGCATTTTGTTAGTAAATTGTTTATATACCTGGTGAAGGCCAAATACTTTAAATAATGTTCTTAGTTCATTTACTGGAAGGTTTTATTTCACCTGTAGGAAAATATGCTGAAGGAATATGGGGAACATCAACCTGAGTGTGTCCTAGCAGAGTTTACTCAATGGATAGCAAAAAATATCAATTTTAAATGCAGATGTTCAAACTCCTCGTCTAAAATTCCTTTTAGTGATATTTTTTGCTTCATTTTTCCTTGTCTTTTTTTTCCACATAAGCAAGAAGGAAAACCTAACCTGGATTCTTCCCTTTTGCACCTTCTGTTTACTCCTTTTGTTAAATTTTCTCTTTGTCGGTCCATATATTTGTCCTCATTCTCAGCAGAAAAACCTTTGAGCCTTTGAGACTTTTATATAAAGGTTTTTTTTGCTTTTGCTTTGATGTCAGTTGATTTCCTATCAAAGTGTTTGATTTGCAATTTTTTTCTTGTCGTTTGCAGAAGCCGAAAGCGGTATGCCCTCTTCGTTACCTTTCCTTCCAACCTCAATCCTACCTCCACTCCTTCTAACTTCAGGACTAATTCCTTGCCAAGAACACAGGAAGATAACAACTTTGTCTATCTTTCTCTGTATATGCACACATATATATACATATATATATTCATCTGTCTATGTGTGTATATATATATATATCTATATGTGTGTATATTTATATATGAGCCCCCAATCTCAAAAAGGAGACAGGAATAGCATTTTGTCTCTCTGTTGGTTCTTGTGACTCATGCACTAACTTCTTTGCAGGAAATATAAAATACGACAGTATGTGTTTTAGGCTTTTTGTCCCCTTAAGGAATCACTGGTGTATTAGACTGCTACATTTGAAAAATAGACTTTACTGTTAACCCCTCCTGTTGTCTTTTTTTCATTTGTACTGTATCATGACGATGTAGTTTTCGTCTTTACCAGCCCTTGTGCTGACAATCGTCTCCATATTCATAAGTTCATTGATGTCCTTCTTCCCCTAGTCTTCCTTCAAAACACGTCTGAGAGTACAGTGGTTCATTTTCTCTTGTAGTCTCACCTTCCATTAACAACAACCTAATGCCTGATTCTTTGCATTTTGAGCCCAGTTAATCGTAATACAGTACTCATTAAATTTGTTGTACTGTTCCAGTGAAAGTACCATGGATATTTTGTGCTGTACATCACATTCATTTTAATGACATTTATTAAGACTATTTATGAATATATTACTCAATTTTTTTCTAAGATTTTTTTTGGGGGTATGGCATGTGTATCATTTTCTTTTACTACACCATGCTGAGAGTCCTTCTCTATTCAACATTCTATCGTGCTGCTACTGGTTTTAATGGAATCAAGAAGGCATGCTTTTCCATATCTTCTCATCTCCTCTCCTCCTTCTCTTCTCATCTTTTTTTCCATCACTCCCATTTGTTTTTCTAATTGCTTAGAGCAATCTGTTGGTTTTGCTTTTCAGAGACCCATTCTCATTTTTCAGACATTTTAATTTCTTTCATCATATTCCCTAAAGTTTACTTTCCACGTCTGTTTTGTTGCGTGTGCTGTGTGTTATGTTTAATTTTTAGTCTTATTCTCCTGTGGTTTCTAAGTAGATGTGTGAAAAGAGAGGTGGCTTCCTGTCAGTTTGGCATTATTGATATGATCCAACTGCAGAGAAGTTACTGCAACACTTAGCATCTTCAAGGATCTGCAGTTGTTGCACCTCTACTTCGCTTCTTGCTTTTAAGTATATATTATCTTGTGGTTAAGGCATGTGAACGCTGGCATGATGAACAATATGAAGAAGTATTGTACAAAGTAAAGTTGCTTGCTCCCAGAATAAACTGTATTGTGCTGCTTCATTGTATTGATAATAAATCACTTCTGGAACCAGAAGGAATAACTTAATTATTTAAATTATACTGAACTTACCAGCACCATTGAACAATTTTGGATTATGCCCCAGTAAAAACACCTTACATCCATGATGTAGTAGACACTATTGTGAAGGACTTAACTCCTGGGAGCAACCTTTTTTTGTATGCTTGTAGTAATTAAAGTTAATATACTGTAGCATGTAATGTGCCGTGTCTTTTGCCTTGTATGCTTTTTAGTGTCTTACTGGATTTTTCTGTGTAGAACAATATGAATCTGAATTAATGTCAATGATAGAGCCCAGAAGAAAGAAGCAATACTCACGAGTTACATGCAGTGTGAAGCTGGTATGCACACAACTCCCACTATGGGATTTGTGCACCTACCCTCACACTCCACATAGAATCATTCACAGAAAATACACATCACCTAAGGCTAATTTTGTAATTTTAAGTCTGTAGTGTGAATAACATGGCATAGTTTAAAAGGCCATTAGGCTAATAATGGTACATTTCATCTGGGCGTGGCATGGAACAAGAAAAATAGCTGTCTTTATTTAACAGTGTGATAGCTTTATTCAGTAATATCAAATAGTCTTGTTTTAGTTACTCTATTAACAACAGTGAGTCATTATTTATATTTCTGAATTTAATATATGATATTTTTACTATATTAGTCATGTGGGGAATGGTACAGTACATCTACCACAAGGTTTAAAAATAAGTTTTTACAGATTTTGTCATTTCTTTAGTCAAAATTTTGCCATTTTTGTTTCATTTAATTCAACAATTGATTTTTTTCTTTTCCTTTTTCCTTTTTTTCTTTTTCCTTTTTTTTTCTCTTTTCTTTTTTCTTTTCTCTTTTTTTTTTTTTTCTTTTTTCCTTTTTTTAAGATAAAAATAGCATTTAAAAGGGTATCTGCAAATCAGAAAAAAAAAACAACAAGGAAATGCCACTCAATCAGACAGGTTTCCTTGATGAAGGGATTAGTTGTTCAATTGATCCCTGATGCTGGCATTCATCTCACCTATCTTTATCAGTGTAGACCTAATTAATTCCTTTTAGTTATTCAGACTTCAGTTCTTGAAAGCAGCTTCTATTCTAAAACAGATGAGGTGAATCCCATTCTCAGTGCTGTCTAAATTGTTATCCTGAAAGTAAGAACAAAAAGAGCAGTAAATAGCAGCAAGTTGCTGACAAGGGAAATTCCCAGTCTTGATAATATATAAAAATGAGTCATTACTTTGTCATGTACTTATCTCCACAACTAGGGGAATATATATCTGTGCACATTTTCATGAACTGCTTTAAGAGATATATGCATCTCTAAATAACTGAAGAATGCATTCTTCTTGGTAGGCTTTAAAGCCTGTTTTATTTTTATTTGTTCCTTTTCCCCTCTATGATTAAGTCTTTTAATTCAAAACATTTCGCTTACTGTACATATTACTGTGTTTATCAGAGCATAACTTTAATTATGTTTCAACTATGACACCCCAGTTCTAGAAATAATTCAATTGCTGCTTTAATAAGCAGCATATTTAATAAATCCATATATACTCAGTAGAAATTGCTCATGACTGTGATCTGGTTAAATACCAGTGTGTGCCTATAAAACAAAAGTATTTGGAGCCTTTCTTGTAGTTCATTGTCAGTACAGCAATGGAGCAAATTAATTTTTAATTTTGACCAAAGTCTTTGATGCTTGGGTCATACTGCATTAGCTGCAATCACATCTATATTTTGTGGCTATAAATACAATGTATTTGTGAAAAAAGCTATGAATGACATAAAAGATCTGACAAAAAAAGTCTATACTGACCCACTGAATTGATTTCATGTGTCTCAGGAAACTTCGAGATCCAATAGCATGTTCACACTACATTTGCAACTTAAATCACTTCTGTTTTAAGATTATGTTCACTGCCTTTTAAAAGACCTGCTTATTACCTTGTCAAGCTTGAAGTTCTGGAAGTTCTGTCTATGTAAAGAAATGTGTTCATCTGTTTTCACTGAAAAGCTGTAATTAATGTCTTTACAATTAAGGGCAAAGAATGAAAGACGGGGATAAAAGAAGTGTTAGTCTGACAGAGCAGTAGTCACTGATACTTAAGAAATGTAGTCAAACCTAACTGCATTGTAAATGTTTGCATATTTTAGAAGGAACAGCTTACTAGAAACAAATGAGACTAGCTTCTGTAGACTTCTTACAGCTAAATTATCATCAAAATGACAATAAAAATAAGGACACAGGAAGGAGCAAAGGCTTGAGACATAACGGCAGGTAAATTTAAGAAGATGGAATATTTTGGCAGAACAACTTCAGATTGTTATTAGCAAAAAGATTGCCTCCTGGTTTTACCTGGGCTCATGGCTTTATATGTCGGCAATTCTTTTTTTTTTTTTTTTTTTTTTTTTTCCTAGTAGTGTCCAAGTAGAGCACATTTAAGCACATCTAATCTGCCTTAATGGCAGCCTGCTAAGCTGTCCCTGGAACAGCCAGAAAGCTTTGACTTGGTACATTGACTCAAGTGACAAAACTTTGTCCAAGAAATCTAAATTTTCCAATATATTTGTGACTTCACTGACTTATTTCATTTGAACAAATGATTTTTTGTTTTAGTTTTGTTTGATTGTTCTGTTTTACTTTGTTTTCTGTCAGCTTTATTTCATTTTAAAAGCTGGGAAATTGCATTTAAAAAACAAAACAAAACATTAAATAAATGTTTTGTTTTGCAAGCAAAACCAGTAAGCCCAATAAACTAAGAAATGAAAAAGATGTGAACTTCAGCTGTGCAATCTTAATGCATATTCACTTACCTGTATGCATTATACGTAGACATCATTTAAATCATCACATTTTATTTTTTGCAATACTACTGAAATGTGCTGCGGAGCTGCTTTTTGCGGTGATGCACTCAAATTTTCTTTAGTTCTCTGCTTTTAAACTATTGCTAAGTTTGAAACTGTGAATGAAGGAAGAGGAAGGATATCTGAGTAAACACTTTATTTTAGAACTGGTTTCTGTTCCTGCCATAGGAAAACTGTGTGACAATTTAAACAAAACTTTTTACAGGTGATCTCTGAATACTTTGGGAACCAATCACTGAGCATTTCTACTTGCAGCAGAAGTCCCAAGAAACTGTATAAAGAGATATGCAATGCTAAATATTAATAAAAATAAGTTGTAGGCATCCTAAATAAATAAATATTTTGCCTCATACTGACTCAATTGAGTCATTAGTAATTCATCTATAAAATGGAGTAACACTTTATCTTACTGTGATTTTCAAAGACCAAGTTTAAAAAAATGCAAACTGTTTTAATTTTATCAAGTCAAAGCTTAGTTACATTACACAATAGCAAAAGGTATTGGAAAATATATCTCTGTGTGCATGGATATATAGCTTTGTACTTTGCAAATTACCTTAGCTAATATCTAGAGTTAAATCTTCAAGAAAATAAAAATATTTAATAAAGAGATATAGAATATCTCACTTCTTGATAGCAGTTCATAATTTCCTTTATCATATTTAATTGAGGTTATTTTGTCAGTGCGGTTGGGTTATTTTTGTGCTTCTTTTGTTCCATGCCTACATAGCAGTGTTTAAAATTTTTTTAAATTCATTTTATGTTTTTTCAGCTATCGTGACTGGTTGTCTTGTACCATTCCCCTTGAGTGTATGTGTGCATTTATTATTTTGAACAATAACATATTATGTCCAGATTGGGGTCCCATTAACATTCCGTATCACTGGAAATTGGCAAAAATTTGCATAAAAGGGTTTATCTTCATGAGTGGCTTCTTTGTATTGTTATTGAGTGGTGGTTGGTTGTTCTTTTCACCATATCTTGAATTGACAGAGCAAGAGATCTAAAAACTCAGCTTCACACATCATGTTTCTGAGAGGCTTTGTTGATTTTGTATAATCCATACTTAATGCAAAAACATAAGAATACATATGTAAACAGTTAATGTGATTCTGGGAGAAGGCATGTGAATGTCTCAAAGTAAAGTTTTCGTAAAAATGATGGCATGTAAAAACTGTAATTTGGTTGCAAATTGCAAGGAAAAATGGCTTAAAATTTCCTTGCAGCCTTTCATAACTAGTGGGTCCCCTATAGTAGAATAAAATAAAGCTAGTTTTGAACATTACGTTAAAAGTAATTAAAATTTATCATTTTGTTTTTGCTTTTGTTTCACTGAGCAGTATATTAATCAATCCTGGAAACCATGTCAAGATTCAAGAAGGTACCTTAGGATTCTTCATTGCAAGTGATGCCAAAGAAGTAAAAAGGTAATTCGTATATTTCTATCTTTAAATTTAAACATACAGTATTTAATTTTTTTTCCTTTAGTTGTAAAAACATTCACTGATTTTCACTGTATTATGGTGAAAGGTATTCACGGAAAACTGAGTTAAGAAACTAATGAAATTACCTTTCCCTGAGATCATGCGTATAAATTTCTTAACTATAATTTTAAATGTCAAGGAAATAAAATGATTTTACAAGTATGTGAAGAAAATAAGAGGTTATTTTTCAGAATTTTACTAGAAAATGTAACATACTGATCTATTTTTTTTCTATAAATTAATTAGTGAAATTGCTCTGGGATAAATCTGGGTTGACAGTTTTGTCCAAGTTTAAGGTTTGAAATAGTTCTTATTTGTATGCAATCTATTAAATACTTGATTTGAGCAAACTGGTGTATTTATTTGCTAACTGCATTAGCAAATTAATATTTATGACCTTTTAATTTTTCTTTACTGTAACTATATATTCTATGTCCCCATAAAAATAAACACAAATAAAACCGTTTGAAATATATTGCAACCATTAAGGACAGCTTCACTGGTTCACTGTAGCTCGATGTACTATAGTTGCATTAGATTGATGAGAGTTTTATGTTTTTGTATTTAGTGCCAAACATATTTATTCTGGTTTGTTAGGATATAAAATGCTTGGACGGAATAAAATAGCAATGTGAGAAAGTAGTGTTTGAAATAAATAATTCTTTTATGTCCCTTGAATTAATAATAATAATAAAAATATATAAATGATGACATTTACTTAGTCCTAAACTTATGTGAAAAGTAATATTTAAGTAATGCATGTTTGTTATAAGTGTATAAAGAATGTCAAAACATCACAATCATGAAATTGCTGAGAATTTGAAAGATATTTTTGTTGAAACAGTTAATACAGTTTTTGTGTAGCCAAAGCACAAATAAGAGCACAGTAGTACTTCTCTCATATGTCTAGCACTGACTTCAGAATATTTGCAACCAATATTGTGTCAGATACAATGCCTTTCAGCATACAGTTTTTTCTTCTCTTTTGCTTTCATCCATTTGAATACAGTCTTCGCACCCCTGTGATGTTGGTAGTTTTTCATTTTATAGAGCGTTTTACAATCTCCTATGAAATTATTTCAGACTTATTTCACATAAATTACCTGACATATAATTTATTTCACCAGTTGACTGCTAGTAATGTGGTTAGAAAGAATTTGCCTATCATTCGTCTATCATGTTTTATCTAATAACATGCTAAGATGGAATTCCCAGTTCTGCCTGACTTTTTGCAGAAAATTTTGTTTAGAACCTTGCCACATTCTGTTACTGTTCTATGCAAAGCAAGTCATTATCAGATATGCTTCAACTAACAAAACCAATTATGAAAAGTGTTGACTACACTCTTTTGAGCTGTGAATCACTCAGAAAGAATGTTCTGAAGGTGAGGTCTTGGAGAAGAAAAGAAAGTGAAAAGGATAATAAGTATAATATGATGAAAACAAGTAAGTCAAATGCCTGAAATTCAAATTATCATCAATTTTTAAAATATGCTAATGGCTAAATTTCAGGTATAGAATGATAGCTTACAGTGAATTTCTATTGAGATGCATGCAAAGGGAGAAGGTTGGAAAAGATATGTATGGAACTACCACATCTTGATTAGGATATGTACCAGCATTTCAGCAAGTTAAAAACTATGTTTTCTTTTTTATGCCAGCAGGAATACTGGTGAACTATAACTGTTTTGCTACAGGCCACCTATGTGATACTTGTGAAATATGTCACAATAGCCTTATGCAACATATTGAATTGACAGGCACAATTAAACTAATCTGAGAGCAGTCAGATGCATGTTTATTAACTGGAATTTTATTTTGATATTTATGCAAAGTCAAATGTTTACTCTTTTCCCTTTACTTGGTTCTCTTTGTGTTTCAGCTATTGGTGAGTGTGTTAATACAATAGTGGATGTTAATAAACAAGAATATCACATGGTAACCTAGATGGTTCAACTTTGTAATTACATGCTTTTCTTAGAAACGTTCATTTCTTATCTGTTCAAAAAGAGTACGATTCTGCTCTAACACCAAATATAAAAGACAAAAATTAGTCTGAAGCAAGACTATATCTGCTCTTTCATTTATATATTCCTATATAAACTTTTTTTGTAGGTTTTGTAATTTGTAATTTGTAATTTTTTGTAGGTTTTCTCTTTTTTGGGGGGAGAGGGGGTAGGGGGATGGGTTGGAGGGGGATAAAGCATACATCTGACATATTGTCACATCAATCACTTTACAATCTTTAATTTTAACTAAGATGCTTTCCAACTTGTGACCGGGCTGAAAAACTGGACCAGGGTGCTAGATGATGTTTCCAAAAGAAAATATCTGGTATATCTGATAGGAACAGATAATTCATTAAATATGTATATACATAAATATGTATATACAATTTATATATATAATATATATATATATACACACACACGCATTCTTGGCAAAATTCATTGGGTGCTCCATTTTTCTAAGATGAAAGACAACTGCAAGGATACACATAATTATCATCTGTTCTCCCAATTACATTTCAAGTATATTAAAAGAAACACTAATTTGGAGTCTTATGTTTGAATGTCATGGTCTTGAAGCAAATATTTCCTACTTTAAATATCTAAATAGTTTCAAAGATTAAAGGAAATTAGCACTGGCATGTTTCATTAATGTGATACTGCCACAAGAAGAAATGTGGGACTAATTTCATTTGTATGTATTAAGAAATATGTCAGTTTTTCCATTCTGTCTCTTCAGGGCATTTTTTTACTGCAAGGCCTGCCATGATGACATCACAGATCCCAAAAGGATAAAAAAGTGTGGCTGCAAACGGCGTAAGTAATATTTCTATCACTCCCTTCTCTTTCTCATTAACTATTTAGTCTTGAAGAACAATTGTACACTCAGTTACATGTTTCACACACTGGTGAAGAAAAGTTAAAAAGTAAATTCATGGCAATATAAGTGCAATTTACATTTTGTAATTGTTCTTATTAAATTTCATACCATTTACACGTGTTTCTTCATAAAAAAATCTATTAGGGTCCAAAGCTAACAAAACTTAAACAGTCCATCTACCTAGATATAATTACGGAAGTTTCTGAGTTAAAAATGAGCTAACAGTGAAATTCTGCTCTCATGCTGAAATCCAGTAATTCCAATATTTTTCCGTAAAGAGCTTTTGTTTTCCTTGCTGAATACTATTCTGTACGAGAAGATCATAGAATCATAGAATGGGGTGGGTTGGAAAGGACCACACTGACCATCTAGTTTCAACCCCCCTGCTATTTGCAGGGTCGCCAACCACTAAACCAGGCTGCCCGGAGCCACATGCAGCTTTGCCTTGTGTGCCTCCAGGGATAGGGCATTCACAACCTCCTTGGGCAACCTGTTCCAGTGCATCACCACACTCTGTGCAAAGCACTTCCTCCTAATATCTAACCTAAACCGTAACTATTGAACTAAGCTATTACTGAAATAAATCATCAGTTCCTGGAGAAAGGGATTGTCTGGAAAAAATTAAAGATTGGTGCCTTTAACATATTCTTTCAATAGAAAAAATATCCATAGCTGAAATGCTAGCATTTGGTTTATTTGCATTCGTAGGTCTGCTGTTTAAATTCTTTGGAAAATTGTGTGTAAAGAACTAATTGAGTTTGGAAATTGAGTTCAGATTTTGCATCTCAACTTTTATAAATCTATAGAAATTATTATTTCATTTAGATACTCTTTTTGAAGATATTTTGCAGGAACTGTGATAACCACATTTTAGACATAGTTGTGCTTGATTTGTAATATTGAAATCAAAAGGATTTAGAGATCAGTCTCTCAATGGGTGCACAAATATTTATGTGCATTCCATTCCATTCCATCTTGCTATGGAGAAGCTGTCATTACAAACTGACTAGGTAAATTGAAACATCTCAAAAGAGTTTGATAAAACCTGTCCCACCAGTACTTTTAAGAGGAAAAAAATCTGCCATATTTATTCATTCAGTGAGCTTATTCGTAGCATCATCATTTTACTGTTTTGGAAGAAGCCAATAAGGCTTCTAAGCTGGACCTTATCTAAAATTAAGGAACAGCTGAAATGGATGAATTCTATGGATTAAAAAAAAAAAAAAAAAAAAAAAAAAAAAAAGGCATATGTCATGAGTTTTTAAGAAGCTCCTCTAAAAAAAACAAAACAAAACAAACAAATAACCCCCCCAAAAAACGAACCAAACCACAGAACTGTTAAACAAAGTAGTGTAATTGAGAGAAAGCAGCTGAGGCCTTAATGGAAAATGGAAATTTCTTCCCAGTAGTTTCAAGGAGAGTAAAGCACATGGAAAGCATGCCTGATGTGGAAGGAATGTATGTATTTCCTAACATATTGGAAAAAAAATTGCCTAATATATTGTTCAAGAACAGTTTATCCATGTGAGAATGTGATCTTTGAACTGCTGCCAAAGCCAATGAGACTGCTGAGCAAGTTCTGGTAAAGCAAGTTTCAGATGCCGCAGGGTGACAGTAACTTCAAAAGCCAATTGCTTTTTTATTCCCCCCCCCCCAATTTACACAACACTTAAGAAGGAATATGTTACCTGTTCAATTCTTAACAAACAAACAAAAAAATAACATTTAATTGTATGCTCTTCTCTACTCCTTCACATTGCGTATGCTTTTCAAATGTGCTGTTTCAAAGAGAAAAATCTGAAAATTTGGTGTTTAATGGGAGATGTTGCAAGAAGGTAGGAATCAGGAATTCGTGGTATACAGGGCAAAAGCATGAACAGTAACATAACCTCGGTACTAGGAAATCAGGGAGAAAATGGGGCATCCTGTGACCCTGCCAGGACAATAGATGCATTACCAACTGCAGGGCCATGGAGAGGTGACAGTGAGAACTTCTATGTAAGGCAGTGTGGAATGTCCCAAAAGGGACAGTTGGTCCAACAGATGGAGATACTGCTCAGATGTAGAAACAAAATGACGGATTTACTGAGGCTGAGGAAGGAGACTGTCAGAGCTGCTGCAGTGAGGACTAAGCACTAAGGAGAGAATCCTCTCAGTAAGGTGAAAAAGAAACAAAAGACAGCAAAATACTGGTTTTCCCTTTAATCGTCTCTCCTTTTTTTCCCATCTGACCTCCCCACCTCTACCACCACACATGCATATGGTTAGAGGCACTATAATAGTGAACAGCTTCCGCTTAACACAGGTTTCACAACTATTGAGAGTAATGCAGTTTCTTTGCTTTTAAAGTTCTGTCAGTCAGCAAATAAATAAATAAATAGATGAAAAATTTCAGCAGTATTTTGTAATTTTGGATCACTAATTCCAGTGACAGTCTCAAGATCCCTTTTATGGGACTGGGTATATGTTTTTAAAAGGTAAGTCTTAAGGTAAAGACCATTATTCACATTAAATGCCTTAGTTTTAGCTTATAAATCACCACTTTTGAAAATCTTGTGTTATCCATCTGCAAATTACACAAACGTTTGGGTCTTAAACTGCAAGCTAACCATAACAAAACATACACTAATAAATACTTTCTCCATTGAATTAGGAAACTGTCAACTGAACCATCAACAGTTAACAACTTGATTTTTTAAGACAACAAAAATTATGATATGGAAATATGTGGTCCTATATAGGTATATATGTTTTAATTAGCGAGCAGCATAGCACTTTGTGACAGATGAATGTGGAAAACATGTAAGATGAAATGAAGGGGGCTGCTAGTAAATATTGACACTTTCAGGTGAATTGAATGTGGAAGATTATCTTTCTTTAAATTGAAATCTTACTTATTGTAGTTTTAAATAATGTAGCTTCCTGTGACACTGGAAGACCACATTTTTAGTAATACATCTGAGTTTGCACATCATTTTAGAACTATCTGTACATTCTGATACTGTTGGGGTCTAAACGTGAGTTTGACCTACATAGCTATTTGTCCAAACCTGTTAGGCCTAATATTAATAATTCAGAGAAGTTCAGTACATTTCTATGAGGCCACGGATAATTAATGTAACCTTGCTTTCCTTTCGCAGTTTCTGCCACCCTTCTTTCTCCTTACGTATCCCACTCCCTGAATAACATATGAATGCTGATGTCATGTCCAGATAAATGTTTGTGTGGAAATTTTATTCACAGATTGTTAACATGTTTTTTGAATGCTTTCAATCTTATTCCTATGTCATTTAACTGTAGATTTTTCAGCAAGGGGCCAAATACATGTATAAATTTATATAAAATGCAGCCATGTTGGGATGAAATCTCTGAACTGGATGACCTACTCCTCCTGTTTCTTTCATTCTGTGCAACAACTGTGGTCTAATTCTGTATATATTTTTTCCAGTGACAGTGCTTGCTGTGAACAATGGGGGTTGAACCCCAGAAAGGACATATCATGTGTACATTGATGTGTTTGAAGGAATTTCTTATACTCTATGATAATTGACAAACTTTTGATTTATTTTTCCTCTTGCTGCCTTGGAACACGGCCCCTACTATATTTTAACTGCACACTGATAGTGATCTATTGTGAGTAAAAATGGGTTCCCTGTAGCCCAGAGTACGGTCCAACCTGTCTTTCTCTAGCAGAAAAGTATTTTTGTTTAGTATTTGGTTATTTTCTTTATTTATGTTGCATGTAGCAGTGACGTCATACCCACAAGTTTCTCATCGTTTCCACCCACGGAGATTAGGGTGACGTTGAAGAAAATACAGCAGTTTTCCCCTCTTCCACTTTTTGCTCCTTTTTTCCACAACTTTGTCTTTTATCCCTATTTGAAAGGGAGATCTTGGCAGTGACATTTCTGAGAAATGATCCTAGAGATATTTCATGAGTTTTCAGAGCTATTGGTTAGGCTGGGATAATTAGCACTATAGCATTGTTTGCCTGATTAAGCCAAATTCATTGACAGATCTGTGTTCAGGTTTTTTTTTGTACTTGGTTTCCATTGCTTAGCTGACACAAGGGACAGAACAGCACTCTTCTACTGTCCTTATTTAACTCCTTTCTCCCCACTGTCAAAAACAAAGGTGTGGGGGGGGGAGAAAGCTGGACAATGAATTAAATATGTGTTTTACTTTGAATATGTTAGGATACAACTTTCATCAATAGCAAACAAGCTACAGTGATCATTTTCCCCAACTATAACAGTTTTGCTTGTTATGAAAATAATTACATGGGTAGAGCCAGACTGTCTTTTCAGGACCTAAGCTGTAAAATTTTACATTGTTACTATTATATATAGAATATGAAGTTTATAGACCATTTCACATCAATCTAAATCTGACCACTTCAAAGTGCTCAGAATCTGTGGAGGCTCTCACCAGCCACTTATGTACAGCCAAGATAATTTAAATAAACATTAAAAAAAGCATTTTGGACATGGAAAGAGTTAAACTTTCTAGAAAGGCAACTATTAAAAATATACTGGTTGTATTGCAGTTTTAGAATAATAGGATTTGTTCTTTCAAACAGCAGGAGGGATCAAGCATTTCACAGATGCAATAAAGCATTCACTACTGCATCAGATTGAGGCTGGTAGCTATACCATACAACTGCAGCTATTCTAAATAAGTGAAACTATGAGACTTTTCACCATTTCGCTAGACATTATGAATTTATTTTCTTATAACACTTCAGATCTGAATCCAGACTGTGATATTTTTTCACCTCTCAGCTCTGCACACCATAGAATCTTGCAAAGAATCCAGAAAAATTTGATACTCCTGGAGTTGCATGATATATTGTCAGCCATCTTGTAATTATGGTGGCCTGTATGATAGTTAGCATTATTTTGTTCTTTTTTGTTTGCTTTGATGTCATTGCTACAGT